ACATATTGAGATTGGTGGAGAAACAGTCCATGTGTGGTCTTTTAAACTTGAATACCAAGAAATGTAGAGATGAAGCCAAGTTCTTTAAGTGAAAATTTTGATTGCAATTTCACTAAAAGACATTGTATAATAGTAGAATCATTTCCTGTAAGAAGCAAATCATCAACATAGATGAGAAGATACAAAGAGATATGAGCTCGATGGTAGATAAGTAGCGACGGGTCGGATTTGCTGATGGTAAAACCGAAAGCTTTAAGAGAGGTGGTGAGTTTGTTGAACCACTGCCCTGGCGCCTGTTTGAGTCCGTATAAGGACTTATGTAATTTGCAGACATAATGAGGAAATTGTTCATCGACAAAGCCTTTTGGTTGCTTCATATAAACCGTGACCGGTAAGTCTCCATGTAAAAAGGCATTAGAAATATCGAACTGCAGAACTTGCCAGCCGCGGTTGATGGCAATGATAAGAAGAGTGCAAACAGTCGACATCTTAGCAACTGGGCTAAAGGTCTCTTTGTAATTTATCTCATATTCTTGTGCAAAGCCCTGAGCTACCAATCGAGCTTTGTAGTTAGATACTTGGCCATCGGGATGAAATTTGGTTTTAAAAATCCACCTGCATCCTAGGACAGGAATGTTGAGTGGTGGTGGAGTTAAGGACCAAGTGGATTGTTTTTGTAGAGCTATGAATTCTTTGGTCATGGCAGTGCGCCATTGTGGAATTTTACTAGCTTGATTGTATGTAGTGGGAGTTGGAAGAGAATGTGTGGTAGCAGATAAATTAAAAATGACTTTGGGTTTAAGATGGCTTGTCTTAAAACGTGTTTGCATTTGATGAAGAGGAGGATGCAACGGTGGAGAGTGTGATTGTAGAGGAACAGAAACGGAAGTAGTGGAAATGCTAGGAGTGGAGAATGGTAAGATGGGAGAAGTTGAAGCTCTGGTGGGAGAAAGTGATTGTGGAGAAGAGGGTTTAGTTGAGGGTGCAGAGGATGCCAAGACAGGAGAAATAGTGGAGGTTGGAATAAGCATAAGAGGAGGAGAATGAATAGGTGTGTTGGTGATTGGTGCTGAAGAAGGGGTATGGTAGGGAAAATGGTTTTCATGAAATACAACATGTCTAGAAATGTGTATCTTGTGAGTTTGAAGATTATAGCAATGATAACCTTTTTGTGAGGGAGAGTAGCCAAGAAAAAGACAATCTTGTGAGCGAGGTTGAAGCTTATTTGTGGCGAGTGGTCGAAGCCATAGATAGAACATACAACCAAAGGTTCGTAGATGATCATATTGTGGTAGTTTTCCATGAAGAAGCTGATAGAGAATGTGAAGGTTGCATGCTTTGGTGGGAAGATGGTTAATGAGATAGTTGGCCGTGAGTAAGGCTTTAGCCCAAAATTGATTTGGAAGATTTGCAGCATGAAGTACAGTTCGTGTAATGTCCAAAAGATGACGATTCTTTAGCTCGGCTATACCATTTTGCTCGGGTGTGTAAGGACAAGTTTGTTGATGAGTGATGCCATTGGATAAAATATAATTAATGAAGTTATGACTTGTGAATTCTCCTCCTCCATCGGAGCCAAGAATTTTGATTTTGGTATTGAAAAGGTTATTTATTAAGGTATTGTAATGAGTAAATTTAGAGAGAGTTTGATCTTTTGAATGCATTAAATAGATCCAGCAAAATCAAGAGTGGGCATCTATAAATGTAACAAAATAACGATATCCATTGATAGAGGAGACTGGAGAAGGTCCCCAAACGTCTGTATGAACTACAAAAAAGGAGTAGAAACAGTTGTAGTGCTAGAAATAAACAGTAACTTGTGGCTTTTACCCATATTACAAGAACGACATAAAGAAGAACTAGGAGGAATACATATAGAAGGAACTAATTTAGCTAAGATTTGCATAATACGATGATGGGGATGACCAAGACGAGCGTGCCAAGGTGATTTGCTTGTGTCCGTAGTGGAGTGGAGAGCAACTGGAGCTTTGTTGAACGTGAAAAACAAGATAGAGTAGAGACCATTACGAGTTCGACCACAAAGAAGGATTTGGTGGTCCACTAGATCCTGAATGATAAAGTCGTGAGCATCGAATGAAATCGAACAATTATTATTCGAGGTTAGTTTGTGAATAGATAGAAGATTATGTGACAAAGCCGGAACATGAAGAATATTTTGGAGATAAAGCTTACAAGGTGTGTTTGGGAGAGGTAGAAGTCCTTGGCCTTGGTGTTGAATTGGCAACGAGCTTCCATTTGCTATAGACACTGAGTCTGAGCCAGCATACACAGTCGGATGCTGAAGAATTTGAGAATCAGCAGTAAGATGGCTTGTTTCTCCAGAATCAAGTATCCATTCAGCTGTAGAATTGCTTTGATGCTGAGAAAGTAGAGCACGGTTTGGCTCAGATGAAGGAGATGAGAAACGATACCAGCATGTAACTGCTGTGTGGCCGTGCTTGGCACAAATCTAGCAAGTGGGACGAGCATTTGGAATTACAGTCTGAGGACGTGCGGCAGTATTCTGCTGTCGAGAGCTTGGTCCTCTGCCTCTAGAATTTGAAGAGCTACTTCGGCCTCTATTAAATCTTCCGGCTGGAATAAAATGTTGTGTTCTCAGAAGCAAGAGGAGTATCTTTCTGAAGTTCATTTTGGATGTTTATCTCTTCACTGCATAAGAGTGAATAGAGAGTGTCTAGGCTAATAGGAAGCTGAGATGTGCGGATTGAGCTTTTAAATGGGTTATATGGGGCCGGTAGGCCGTTGAGAATATACATCACAATGTCTTCAGAGTCAACACGAGATCCTGAAGCGACAATATTGTCAACAAGAGTCTTGACTTGATCAAGGTATTTAGTCATTGTAAAATCTGACATTTGAATGTTGTGTAACTCATTTTTGAGTTGGATCACTTGAGACATGTTGGTCGGCTGAAGTCTGTTTGCTAGAGTGATCCATATCTCGTGTGCAGTCGAAAGGTGAAGAACATATGGAAGAACTGAAGGAGAAATGGTTGAGAACAGTGCGGATACCATATTTTTTATCAATAAGATGCCACAGTTTATATTCAGGATCAGTTGATGATTCGCTCGGGCAGACTTGCCGTCCCGTGAGATATCCGTTGAACCCATTTGCCGCAAAAAGTTTGTGAATCTGTAAGCTTCATATTGCATAGTTCTCATTTGAGTGTTGCAAACTGACTATGGATTTTAGATTGGACATTAGAAATTTCAGAGGAGCTGGAATCATGAACTCTGCCATTGAAGCAGACAGGGAGGATACAGGAGGAGCAGCTGAAGAGGTGACTGGAGGATGAGCAACTAAAGAAAAAGAGTCTTGGTTTGCCATATTTACTGTAGGCAATGAACCTCAAGCTCTGATACCATGAGAAGATTATGAATGCAGATGATGAACTGCAGTAATCAGAAAGAGAAAAAGCAGAGGAGAAGAAGAACAAGTTTTACTATAGCAGATTGTGTTCCTTGATGTATTATATCATGAAGCTGAATATATATATATATATATAAGTGTAGTGAGGAGACAAAATATGCCAAAACAGTTGGGCGACATACTGCATTGCAGAGAATAATAAAAGTGGACGGGCGGCTGTAGCAGGTGGTCCTCACGGTAGTGGACGAAGTGGCTGAGTGTGCTAACAAACATCTCTTTCTTCTGGTTCATTGTCTGGTCTGATTTTCACAACCTTGCTTAGAAGTCTAAATAAGATTTTAAGGAGTGTTAACAATGCTCATGATCGATGAAGCTTGGATGCTTAAGGAATGACTAGTAAGGCAAATTGGTGCATCTTTGAGATATGAACTACAGGGGTTCATTTGTAGGATTGCTTATTTATGTGTTAGTCAGTTAGTTAGTTCATACAAATGAACAACTTCCTTTAGATGTTCTTATTGCACTTCCTGTATCAACATTAGTATATCAAAGCTTTATGCCACCTCATATCCCAAAGATATTACCAATTAGTGGGCCAATAACCAATAGGATCCATGGTCTAAAGTACCCTAACCTATTCTGATCCAACCTACCAAACACTAGTAAAGCAATCAACTGAACCATCCCAAGGGGCAAAAGAAAAAATTGATCCTCAATTAATAAACAAAATTCAATTCGTCAGAGAAATTCCAAACAATTGTAATCCAAGAATCAAAGTCAGAAGAAGCAAATTTTGAAGATGACAAGTCAGAGAAGATTCCATATCGGAAACCAAGGAACATCCATTTGACAAATTCTCAGGATGAACTTTAGCTTCTATGGAATATGCAAATTAGTTGTTTTTTTAAACATTAGCATCCATAATTTTTGTTAAATTTGTCACTCGTTACTTGAGCAAAGGCATATATATCCTTTGCGTATATTACTTCTTTTAACTCAAGTAGGATTTAGCAAATCTTGTAAATCCAAGCTTGGAAAATCTTGTGAGTATAAAGATACAGATTGGGAACAAAACAACTATTGAAATGCTTGGGATTAACTCCTACAATTTCATCTCATGATAAGAACAAGTATTATAGTTCCATGACTAATAATGTGCCCAAAAATGCAACACAATCTTGCGTAAATTCTTCTATTATTCAATATGGAAATGACAATCACTGTATAAAAAACTATTGTAAAATCTTATTTGACTTATGAATATTATAGATCTCGACAAATGCTATTTCAGATTTATACAGTAAAACACCATTGAATTTGAGCATAATAATCAATAGTTCTTCTCATGTCACATCATTTTACAATCTAGCTGTTAGTGTTTTCACAAGACACGCAATATTACGAAATATAAGTCACGATAAGCAGAATAGACTCTAAATGCTAGGTCATTCCACAGGTCTATTATCACCAACCTACCAACCGACCAAACAGAAAACACAAAATCTGGTAATAACGTGACAAAAAATAAACACACTAAGTGCAATAAAAGTAGTGCAATAGCTCGATCGACCAAAAGAGCTGAAATAAAGAACAAGTAAAGGGGGGCTCACAGTGCTCCGACGCCGTTCGGCGGCGATAGCGAAGCCAAAGGCTGTGAGGCTAAGAACCACCACCAGTATGTGGACGAGCGTCGAGCTCTTCCCCTCTCCCATTGCTCACTTCTCCAAGCTTCGCCTCTCTCCTCTCCCACACTCTAAAGCAAAACCGCACACAATGAGAAAGGGAGTAGTAAAGTGTTCAAGGAAAGCGGAATATAGCTCGCTTTGCCTGAGCTGGGCAGCTTTTCGAAAGAAGCGCTCTAAATAACCCAATGCATTCCACTTATTTACTACAATGCCACCGACCAGCTGTATTTATCTGAAAAAGGTGTCTGCCTCATGATATGCTCGTTAAGCATTCGTATTGTTTTAATAGTAATTTCGGAACTGCATTAGGCGGAATTTTAAAAATCTGCTCATTATAAAATTAAATATAAAGATTTTTTTTTTTATAATTTTGAGATCAAACAAAAAGGTTTCCTGCCTGGCAATTTGTCCCTCTTAGGGGAAGAAGTAGGCAGCCAAGTGGTGATTTTATTTATTTATTTAAGAGACTAACTATTCAGTGAGATTAGGGGTGTAAATTTGTGGGTTGGCTTGAGCTCGACTTGATAAATGGCTAATGAGCCGAGCTCGATGAGCTATTGAATCAAGTTTGGGCCAACTTTGACTTGACTCGTTAACTCGCTAGCTGACTCGTTTAAATAATAAATATAAAAATACACTTAAAATATATTAGCATTTTGAATTTTAAATACAAAATTATTAATAATATTTGAAACTTATATCACATTTTCTTATATTAAGTGATTTATTGTTATGTTTATTCTACTTTCCTAATTTATCAGAATAATTACTTGAATTATAATTAGTTTATCGCTTTCATGAGCCAGCTTTTGAGCCAACTCGAACTCGTTTTAATTATGCTCTAACTCAAGTCATGGGTGACTCAAACTCCACTTGACTCTTTCGCACCCCTAGGTGGGACTTCTCAACACCCCCATTCAAGATAAATTATTACTTGCGGAGTCTGGACGTAGTTCAACATCCAGACTCCAATTAAATCATGACACAGATTGTATATGTGAATTCTTAATATATATTTTTTAACACTCGTGACACAATGACCCACCTCATACCTGCTAATAATTTTGAAAAATGCCTTCACCATCCCGTTCAATTTTAGAGTTTAAGGTTGGCATTCATTTTTAAGGAAAAAAAAACCCATGAAAACTCCCCAATATTTAAAATCTTAGTGGAATAAAATGTTTAATACCCAGCTCATACCCGTTCAATTTTTAACAACTAATGAAGATGAATACTAGTTTGGAGGACGTTGCATTCTTTAAGGAGATGACATGCTCACAGGACGCGAATGCTGAAAGCAGTATGAAAATGTCCACGAAGACTTGAATATAATAAAACTATAACCAATAATAAAGAGTTTACAGAATAATAAAGAGATTGCAAGGTTGGATGAAATAAAAATTAATTTAATTGGAGGTGCTGTAGATTTTAACTTCTTATAAGTAAATTTTAAACTCGTCCCAAGTTTTAATGTGTTTCCTGTAAATATATTGTTTTTAGAGTTATGATATATTCTTAAATTATTTACATATTGAATACTGAGAATAGACATACTTTTGTACAACTATATAAAACTTTATGTAAAATGATAATTTTGGAAGTTCAGGAATTCTCATTTGCACAAATTTTATGACATGCTAATTATGTGGTTTCTTTATTCTCAATGTTTTGTTTAATTTGTACATAGGATGCTCAAGGGTTTATGTTTTATTTTTCTTATTTTTAATGATTTTTGCACTTGTACATACCATGTATATAACTGTACGCAAATCGCATAATTTGCAATGTTTTCAAAACCGGTTCGGACCATCCAATTTGACCGGTTCAACCATGAACCAGTCCGGCGGACGGTCTGGTTAGTTGAAATAATCGGCTAGACTTAGAACTGGGGAAAAACTGGTCAAGAACCCGGTTGAACCGGGAAATCGTCGAACCGGACAATTTTAGAAGAACCGAAAGGTTCTTAAAATCACAAATCTAAACCATTTATCTGTGATAAAACGTCGTATGGACATTGTGTTGTTCAGTATTACACTATTACCCGCTCGTCTGCCCTAAGATATATATGCCATGCGCGACTCCTCTAGTCCTCTATCGATTCATCCACAAGAAGAAACATAAGGCCTCCTCTAACCTCCCAGCCGCCGGCGCACAACTAACCTCACCTGCTTCGACAACCTGCTTTAAGTCATCTTTGATCGTTGACCCGTCGAGCTCGGACTAGCCAAATCCTGACTCAGGTTCTTTAACTTATCTATTTTTGAGTAATTATTTTCACATTTATGTTTGCATTCCTTCTCCTAATCTTAAATTAATTTTTTTATTGGATGATTATGTATAATATATGTTCTTCTCAAAGATGATCATCATAAAATTTTATCTTAGTAGAATCGAGATGAAGAATTTTATATATATCTCAAGAGTAAAAAATAAATAGAAAATGCAGGACATGTGAGAGCTTATCATGCAAACTTCTGCAGTTCATTCAGTTTAGTTAGTCAATGCTTAAATTTTTCCTCCATAGTTCTCTTTCTTAAAAGATAGGAAATCTGATTCAAATCTCTTTGGAGTAAATGTTAAGCCATGCATTGAAATTTCTATGTAGATTTTATTAGAGAAAGAGAGCATAAATAGAATGTCCAAATGACGACTTGTGTTTTTTTTTATTATTATGTTTGGTAAATTTATGAGATCATGCAAGTCATAATTTTTTTTAACAATTGTAAATAACATGTTTGGTAAATTTATGAGATCAACAAGTCATATTGTTTGCTTGGATCTTGAACATAGAAGCCTCCTTGTTTTTCTTGTCAGAAATCCATGGATTTAGCTCCTTCTCATTTAGATTTTTTGCAGCTACTGAACATACTTTCTATGATTTTATTCATGCTTATTCTAAATGCAAAACGTATAAGTGGAGTAGTGGGTTTCAATGAGGTTGTAGAGTTCATGCTCTAATAAGATGAATCTTGATAATTATTATTTTTGACATAGTTATTAAAGTAAAATTAGGCTTTAGTTAAAATTCATTTGTTTAAAAAAAATTTGTCCTGGTGTTTATTAGGTTAATAAAAAAATCTCATCCAAGACAATCACTTGAGAATATGAGAACTTCATAAAATTCACTTAGATTCATATTTTTTTTAAGTTTGTCATCTATTTTCATTTAAATACATTTTTCTGTGAACTTCATAAAAGTGTAATGATTGTATTAATTTACTTTAGTTGATCATATGAGAAGGGATGCACTTGGAACTCATAGTGCATCTTTCAGTTGTAGTGTACATGAGAAAGTGGACATTACGTGGAATCATTTCATTGAGATTAAAAGAGCTAATGGGAAGAGACAATTCAAATGTTTGCATTATGGTATTGCATATAAGGGAGGAGGAATAAATAGAATGAAATAACATCTAGCAGGAATTAAGGAGAATATAAATGCTTGCAAGAAGGTTCCACAAGATATTCGATATCAAATGCATGAGAACTTGAAGGAGATCACAAAAAGAAGACAACAAGCACAGGTGGAGTTGGACAGTACACCATTAACTATAGATGATGAAGTAGATAAATGAAGAGATTCTTCTTCTCTACCTAAATCACAATCCTCTGAAGCACATTTAGTAGAACTTGCTAAAGGGAAAAGAAAGCTTGCTAAGATTGACACTTTCTTTGTTCCAAGAATCAAATCAGATTCATAACCTTCAATTAAAAGTATCTTAGCATATAAAGATGCTATCCACCATCCAGACATAACTATAACAAGATGGTTTTTTTATTGTTGCATCCCTTTTTATGCCTTAAGTCATCCCTTTCAATGCCTTAAGTTCACCATATGCATAGAAAGCTATAGATGTTATAACTTCTATAGGTCCTGACCATAAGCTCCCCTCTTACCACAATATGAGGGTTAACCTACTTAGGGATTATAAAGAGAAGTGTAGGTTACTCATTCATAACTATAGAAATACTTGGAAGGACATATGTTATACTCTTATGGAAGATGGATGGACTAATGGTAGGAGTAGAACATTAAAAAAATTTATGATTTATTATCCACACAGTGTATCTTTTTTTTTTAAATTAGTGAATGCTTCAGATATCATCAAGGATGCTACAAACTTGTGCTTCTTATTTATTGAGTTTGTTCAATGTGTAGGGCTAAAAAATATTGTTCAACTTGTCATTGATAATGTTGCTAATTACAAGAAAACAAGGGAGTTGTTACATGTAAGATTCAACAATATCTATTGGTCACCTTGTTATATTGTTTGAATTTAATTTTAAAAGACTTGGACAACATGCCTCTCATAGAGGACTTAGTAAGAAAAGCATCCAAGGTGATGATTTTTGCTTATAATCATATTTATGTATTTCATTGTTATAGAAAAAGATAAGGTTGGAAGGAGATTGTATGTCCAGGAGCCATACAATTTGCAACATATTTCATAACATTGAAGAATGTTTATGAGTATAAACATAACCTCTCAACATTAATTAATAGTAAGTTCTTTGCAAATTCAAAGATATCCAAGACATGTAAGGAAAAAGAAGCAGCTGCAATTATATTAGATTTGAAGTTTTGGAATGATTGTCTAATAATTTTGAAGATAACAAGTCCTTTGATTTGGTTATTGTGCATTATTGACTTAGATTAAAAACCATCACTTGGATATTTATATGATAGAATATATAGGGCGTGGAAGGCAATTAAAGCCATATTTAGAAATATTAAAAGATTATATAAGCCATTCACCATTATAGTTAAAAGAATATGTGATACTTAATTGAGGTAGGGCATCCATGCAGTAGTATACTTTTTAAATCCTCAATTTCAATACAACAAAGAGAATTACTGTCACAAGCTAGAAGTTATGCAAGGCCTTGTTGAACTACCTGAAATAAAGACATTTATCTTAAGCCCACACTTAAAATGAATGATGTCATATTATTCCATTATGGCTTAAAAAGTTTTGGAAATTTAGTTGCTCTAACAATGGCAAAGGAAATGCAACTTGATAATTATCTTTTAATGTCAATGCTTATACCTTTTTTAACATATATCATATTTGCATACTTATTAAGCTCTCTAATGTCAAATTATGTGGATGAGTGGTAGAAAATAT